CCAGCTGGATCGCAGGGCTCATAATTATAATGCAGCAGGCTGGTTAGATGAGATGCCGTGGTAACCTGATGCAGGTATTATTCTCCGGCCCTGCTGACGGCTGCAGGTAAGAGGAGCCACCTGCTGAAACGCTAACCCTCGCCGCTTCTTCCAACAAGAAACGCTGCAAACTGAAAGTGCTAAACGCCAACACCCGATGTGGCCGGGCTGACGATGCAGCCACTTACAGCAGGCTTCAGCAGAAGAGAGCAGGGTGCCTGCCAAAACCTCAGAGAAAATGAGGTTTTCTAATCATTTAGATTAGAAAACCTCATTTTCATCAACCTCATTAACCTCAGATTAATAGTTCCTTGTATGTGAAGATTGTCCCTTATTTTCTTTTTTTATATGATTGTAAAATATGATCGAAAGCATTTAGTTCTGACACAGCTGACAGGGATGATAATTGGCAGGTTCACAGACCTGACGGTTTCTGAAGCCTCAGGATGTGGATCAGAGGTAAAGCACGGACCGCCTCTCCTTCCCAAACTAGCAGACTTGAAACCAGCAGCTGACACCATTACGACATTTAAAAAAGCCATCTTGACATGTTTTTGGATGCTTCACATTCAGCGCAGACAACGGTGCAACACAACAATGACACTCGAGTGAGATTTCACGGCGAAGCACCTGGTCAGCCTGTGACTGTCCGGGTGCTCTGAGCTCAGGTTTAGTCAGTCTCAGCTCTTGTGAGCAGTCAGGATGTCTCCACTCCTGCAAGCTGCACTGCCGAATGAGGGATCTGCAGCTTATCTGCAAGATGTGAAACGGTGGACAGACGAGAAGCGGCGGGGAATACATCTTTTTTCACACAGCTAATGAAAAGCCTGTTGCCGGGGTAACTGCTGGTACCATTGTCATGTAGGACTGGAGGGAGCGGGGATGGGTGACGGTCTGTTCCTGGTGCTATGGAGGCTGTCGGGTTGATTAGGGCTGAGGAGGGATGGTGTGGATGGAGCCCCAGATTTATTGCAGCAGGGTTTTTGTGAAAGTTCACTTACCTCACCAAAGTGAGGCTCCAGAGAACAGACCCCCAAAGTGCAATGGCACAGGAAGAATTCTTCAGCTCCTTTACTTATGTAAAAGTACCAATATATCAGATTAACAACATGCCGTTACAAGGAAAAGTCCTGCTTTAAATCCTGCTTAAAGGAGAGTTTTGGCATGCTTGTTCGCACTCTTTTCTCTTTGTTAAATATCATTTCCACCTTAAGAAGCATCTGCGAGTTCATGGAGGAGTTCATGGAGCAGCATCAGGATCTATGGGTCCCTTTATGAGGTCTCACTAATGAAAATTACACAAATTAAAAAATGAAAAATGTTTTCTCCCCATAACTTTGAAAATACTCACACTCCATGCAACTTCAAGACAGTCGCTCCACCTCAAATCCTGCTCCATCATTTGCATGAAGACTATGGTCCAAAGTTTGAACAAATATAGTGATTGCTGTGAGATTTTAGCTTCCTTTACCAAATACTTTCTTAGATATATGTTTCTGAAAAATGCTCCTTTGAGCCACTTACAGGCCATTGTTTTGCGCACTGAAACTCACGTTTGAACATGAATATCTCAAAAACCATTAAAGATAAAAGCCTGATTCTTTTCACTCATCTTTATATCAAAGTAAATCAGCATCTGTAATTTGGGACACATAACACCTCAGGCTAGTAAAAATATTTTTAAAAATGCATCACTTTGCAAAGTAGCATATATGAGCACACATTAATTTAAAAAAAATTGACATTGCAAAAGACAAATAGTGGTAATTTCTGAACAGTATATCATCACATTTCATAATAATGCAAAAATAAAAGACACAATTCTCTTAACTTTAATTTTTTTTGTCACAAAAACAAAGAAAATTGTATTTTTATTCAACTTTCATGTTGGATTGAGTAAATATTACAGTCCATACCACATAAACAAAAATATCAACAGATCGAACTTTCCAGATTTACACAGAAAATAATTAAATATGTGGACATTTGTAATTTAAAAAATTGTTTGGACAAATACAATGATTTCTATGAAATGGTTGATGTTGAGGGGTCCATCACAATGTAGGTATAAAGGACACCTTTCATGTGCTCTAACTGGATTTGAACAGTGACCCATCTCACATGCTGACATGAAGATCTGCCCGAGATGCACGTCAATAAATCAACGATCGGAGGCACCAACACTCATTCCTGCCCCTCCACAGTCAACAGGTGACTTACTTACATGCAAACTCCTCATCAGGACGATGGAAGAGTGCCGGTGGCTCAGTAAACACATAGAAAGCATTTTACTGCTGCAGCTTCTCCGTCACCTGATGTGATATTTATTGCTCTCTCTTCCTGCTGTTTGTGTTGCGTTGAAACATGTGAAGACGCGTCTTATCTTATTGTCACAGCAGCGCATGAAAAATCAACACCATAAAATCAAACAGAGTGGCTCTCAGCTTTTAGGGGCTGCTCGTCTGTTTGCTCAGACTATGCTGTGAAAACACCTGTGATCAGGTTTGAAAGAGCACATCAGTCAGCATTTTAAATACAATGCGCTGTAGCTAAATAAACAGCTATAAGGCAGGTTTGGTGACATTTATATCTCCCACTGAACTTTATCTACATATTTACATTCTCTGAGTGTATTTACTGTATATAGCAACCATTTGTAAACAGTAGACAAAACTCTTGTTTTTATTTGTACACTATTTATTTCTATGTATTTATTTTATTTTCCTTGATGATGATCATGATGAAGATGGAGCTGGCACAGCTGGCAGCCCTAACCCAATTTCCCTCGGGATGAATAAAGTATTATCAATCAATCAATCAATCAATCAATCAATCAATCAATCAATCAATCAATCAATCAATCCTTGTGCGGACGTAACATGTTAATGTATTGTTTGAGAAAGTTTAAATAAATGAGTTTAATATGAAGCAGCTTAATGACAGGGAGCACATGCTTTTAACATCAGCCATATTTGTTGTGGTTATGATTCTCAGATATTCCCGGATGATCTGATATGGTCGTGTTGGTGTTGTCTACAACATCAGTAAATGTTGTTCCAGGATCAACATTGCAAGTGACCAATCACATTGTTGTGACGTTATTCTTTGGCGCACCAAGCCATTCGTGCATTTATGAAATTCCAATGTTGCAAGGACAATATACAGTTCTGCTACCGTTTATTAAAGGGTCGTAGGGTTAGGCAGCGTTGATCGGCGGACAGAGGCGGTTTCTCGCAGCTTAAGTACAGTTTTTGTTTTACGGCGGTTTTTCCCGAAGTCGCAAAAGTATGACGTCACAACATTCTGATTGGTCACTTGCAATGTTGATCCTGGAACAACATTTAGTATGATGATCTGGGAACAACACCAACACGAGGATATCAGATCACGTGCATATGCACTTGGCAGAGTGTGTTGACTCACTAGTGAACAGGGCTGAAACGTTCTGTACACACACACACACACACACACACACACACACACACACGGCTGCAATAAAGTGTGTGTAATTATTTTACGTTAGAAAGTACAATTTCTCCTTGCGATTTCAAAAAAAACAAAAAATAATTCACAAAATTAATGCAGGATCTACAGAAAATAAAAGAGCGATGATGTAATCGCCCAGAGTGATCTGTAATCTGGTGCCGTTGATTATGGGCCTGATAAGTTACCCTGTGTCTACACGGCCGCCCTGTAGCCTCAGGAGAAAGCAGGAGCGTGTGCTGAGCTCGTCGAGCGCCGTGTTTTTCCTCTAGAAGCTTCTGAGCTCTCTGCGGAGTTGTACTGGTCACTCCACAAACAGCTGTGTCATGTTGGTCCTCTGCTGCCTCATTCTTTCCTCTGAAGCCGAGACAAAAGGACGTCTCCCAGCCCGGCACCATGAATGAAGAGGCCCTCCCACTGTTTCCCTGCCCTTTGTCTCCTTGTTGTTACACAGAGAGTGTGTTGCTCACTGAGGCTGTGATGGATGTCGGATTACCCCTCAGACTGTGTCTTCCTGACAAAGAACACACACACACACACACACACACACACACACACACACACACACAGTGTTCCTGAAGATCCTGCACACAATGACCTACAAATCTTTGCCCTGACCTCCACACCCTGAACTCGTCACATGCATATGGCACCAGCACAAATGTTGATTTTAATCCATCACTGAGCTCATATTTAATTTAACGACTCTTACCATGAAACACCAGCGAGACTGAAACCAGAGTTTTGTGGAACCTGTTCAAACAGATGCTGTTTTTTCAGGACGACTTACAGTTGTTGCCCGTTGCTTGAACGCTATAAAGCCATGCTTAGACTAAAGTAACACAACTTGAAGCTTGTGTCACCAGACCGCAAACACATGTACCCATACCTTAAACAAAAGCACTGCTTTGCACCCTAGTTGCAATTATGCAACACACATGGTCCTGCATACTACACTCTATTTCATACATAAGACACTTCGTTCACAAAATGAAATGTCAGGGTGCCATTTGGAAAACACATGTATCCAAAATACAAAACACATGGGGTAATTGCAACCACTCAATACACACCTGAAGGCACTAACTTGCAAAACTGAACACCAATTAGACAACTACAAAAAGCCCTCAGTTCAGCCAATTCAAGAACTTTGCAAGCATGGATGGAGGGAGAGCAAGAGGAGGAGGAGGAGGAGGTCGTCGTCGTCGTCGTCGAAGAGGCCATGCACAGACCCATATTTCTGATGATATAAGAGCAACTTTGGTGGACCATGTCATCAACCACGGCCTGACTATGAGGGAAGCTGGGCAGAGAGTCCACCCACATCCGAGCTGCTTCACAGTGGCATCTGTAATAAGAACATTCAGACTTAATGAGTGTACGTGATGTGTTGGTTGTATGTTTGTTGTTTGTTTTGACATACTGCGAATCAATTTCCCATCAGGGACAATAAAGTTACCATTGACCATTGAGAAAGCAGGTCTGTCTTCACCTCTCTGCCTTCTACTCTACTCAGATGGTTTTCATAGCACTGTTCTACAGTATATCACCATATCAAGTGTACAGCATAATGCAAGGTGCTAATGCTCCTTTTGCAGCCAAAGTGGTAGTTTCTGTGAAACATACCATGATTACTTATATTGAAGTACAGTGTTGTACAGTGGATGACACAGTACATACAGTAAAGTACTGTAAGACAAATAAGCAAAGCGATGACAGCATGTGGTTGTATTTCTCTAGAATGACTCGAAGACCTTCTGAGGCAGGACGCCAACGCCTGTTCACACAACAGCAGGAACTCACCGTTGTGGGCCTAGTGAGGGCAGACAATGCCATCCGTCTCCACCAGCTACGAAAGCAAATACTTGCAGACAGGCGAGTGTTCAACAACATAAACCATGTGAGCATCACCACCATCAGACGCATCTTGGAACAACACAGCATCACCATGAAGCAGCTCTACAGAGTCCCATTTGAGAGGACCAGTGACGGGGTCAAAGGACTTCGAGCTGAATATGTACGGGTACGTGTAACTGTCCTTTACATGACAATGCAGTATTGGTGAAATCCAGCAGCAGCTGAATATGTACCATATCAGTACCACATGGATCCATCCTGAGAGCTACACAGGTACCCGTGTGATGGGTGAGGGTCCTGTATGTGTAGCACTGTAGTACAGTAATATGTTCTCTTTGTTTTACAGAGAATCTCAGCCATGGATGGAGCTGCACAGCCTCATGAATTCATTTTCATTGATGAAGCTGGATTCGACCTGTGCGAAACAAGACGACGGGGTTGTAATGTAATTGGCCAAAGGGCAATTGTGCACGTCCCAGGGCAGCGCGGGGGAAACATCACATTATGTGCCGCCATATGCCTTCGAGGACTTCTGCATCATCATGCAAAACTAGGTCCATACAATAGCCAACATATACTCACATTTCTAGATGCTCTCCATGATATAGTTGTACAGAACAGACCAGATCAGCCCAGGTTTGTGGTGATATGGGATGATGTCAGTTTCCATCGGCTGCTCTGATCCAGGCCTGCTTCTCCAACCACAGCCAACTTGAAGTGGTATACTTGCCCCCTTACTCACCATTTTTAAACACTATAGAGGATTTTTTCCGGCTTGGAGATGGCGAGTATATGACCGCCAACCACATGTCCGCATGCCTCCTTTGCAATGGAACAGGCCTGCGGCGACATTCAGGTGACAGCAATCCATGGATGGTTTCGACATGCAAGAGGGTATTTCCCCCGGTGCCCAGCGGGAGAAGACACTGCTTGCGATGTCGATGAGGTCCTGTGGCCAGACCCCAACAGACGGCAGGATCCATGAGCCCACGTATGCACAATTGTCATGATGTTTTGTGTGTACAGTATAGTGTTTTTTCTATTACTGTATTATGGTGTTTGTTTGGTTTTTTTTGCTTTATCTGAATTCATGGTGCTGCAGTGGACAATACTGAGTAGGCCTATTTGCTTTTTTGGTTGTTTGTGTCTCCTGAAAATGTGCCTTCTGCATAAACAATGGAAATCAAAGACTGCAGTGTTTTATATAAAGTAGACTAGTGTGTTCCCCTGATCTGTAAGTGTTTGCATGTGATGCAGGTATGTGTCATTTTGTCAACAGAGTTACATTTTGTCAAAGGAATGTTAGGTTTCGACAGCGGAGTTTCAGTTTGGCACAGATGTGAACGGTATATTTCCCGGTGTTGTGTCATGTTTACTTGTGTTTAGAGTTTTGGCACAATGAGCGAAGTTTTGCAAAACGTGTTCAAGCAACGGGCAAAAACTGTAAAATAATATCAGCTTTCCTAAACTTACACCTGACTCACTGAACATGGAGCTCAGGGGGGTCAGTAGAGCCGGCCTGACCGTCCATCTGAGCAGTGGAGCGATTCACTCATCGCTTTACACATAAAAAGGTGCCAAAGATAAAAAGTCTCTTTGATTTTGTTATGAGAGAAATTCTAATCTTTTGTCTGTTATTTAGTTTGTAAACCCTACAATAAGTTACTAATTGATATCACCAACACACAGTTACATTTGAGCTGCAGACAATCAGGGGGCCCACGCTGACCCCGCCCACCACTGTGTGCATCAGAACTGGAGCACAAAGCAGTGGAAGAAGGTGCCCTGATCCGATGACATCACGACGACCAGGTGCACGCTCACCTGGGAAACACCCAAAGGATCAGTTTCTAACATCTGGGTGCAGATACCTCGCGGTGGCGTCCATGCCCCGATGGGTCAGGGGGACCAACGCAATATCAGACATGTGGCTGCTGTACGTTTATCTTTAGTGTGCAGTTTCATTCAAACTGTCTCGCACTTTGTAACCATGTGTTTTGAAAAGTGATAAAAAAACATAAAGTTATTATTATAAAAGCACGGTGGGTGTCAGGTTGTGCAGCATCCTCAGAGGCCGTGGAGATGTGGACTGCTGGATGGATGGATGGAGTTTCTCTTATCTAACTTCCTGTCATTGTTGTCTTCGAGGGCTCCGCAGCGTTCTGCTGTCCAGGTAACATAAAGGTTGGTGACTCATTGCAGTGACAGGACAATGCTCCCTAAATACCCGAGTCAGTTACCAAACATACTCTCGGCTTACATGACATTTCACACCAGCCACGAGCATTGTTTCCTTCACTTGCAGCAGGTCGTCATCTCATGCGACGATGGTCCAAAAACTGCAAGTGTTAAGCTGCTCACAGGTTCACCGGTTCCTGCACAAACAGCAGAAGTCTGGAGACATGGAAACAGTTTGGTTTTATGGCGTTGGTAACGCACACAGATGAGCTGGACACTGATACTGAGGGAAGATGTGCAGGAGGAAGATGTGCAGGAGGAAGGGTCACCTGATACCTGTGTGGAAATGTCCGGAGCCAGAGGGGAGGTGGAGGCGGCGGGGACGGACTGAAAAACAAACATAAACAGAGCCGGGCGGGGGGGAGCGGCGTTCTTGGCGGCTACAGTTTGACCTTGGCCGGGCATGCCCGGGCCTGCCTCTCAATGCTGGGAGGGAGCCTCACTAAAGCCAGCTGCAGGACTTGGACGGCCTCAATGAGAGCAGGAAATACCACCCCGGGCAAACAAGGGCGTAGCACCCTCCCTCCACCTCGCTCCGTCTTTTAATGACGCCTTTCTTTTTCCATTTCTCAGCAGTCATCGAGCTTGGCACGCTGCACAAGCACCACAGATGCTCTTCTCTCGTTCCCGCTCCTCACTCGCTGCTTTCCAATCTTTAATTTGATTTCTTTATTTCTTTGTTCGCCTCACAGCAGAGGGAAAGCTTTCAAACGCTGCTGCTTTGCATATCTTAGACTCTGCCCTCAATAGGTGAGCTGCCGAGGCGACAACACCCCGGTCAGCCTCGGACCCCCTCGCTGCTCACACAGTCGGGGTTTACTGCACCGGTCTGAAGTCCGTCCATTCCCCCCCAGCAAAGAGGCTTCTCTGGATGCATCACAGGCTGAGTTGATGAGAGTGGACGTGGGACAGAGCGAGAAGCCGGCCCTCCACGACGTTTCCCAAACAGCTCACAGTCGGATGTTTCTGGCAGCGCTCTTTAGCATCCAGCTCTTTATCCCGATGCTATCAGTCGGACCTTTTTAAAGGGAGCTGGCCGATCTTGGATTTCACACAGCAGTGAGCTTCATCACCGTCCTGTGAAACCGAAGAAAGGTCTGGCTCCGCTTGCAGGCCTGCAGCCTTTCAAAGATCCTTTCACACACCAGGCTTGGTGTCTGATGCAGCATCCCCGACACGTTTACACCTGATCTCGTTTTTACAATGAATTCATTCGTGTTTCTTCACGTACTCAGTTAATGAAGCAATGAAGCACTAGTAGCTGCGCCACATAGCACCATTTTGTGCTGGATGTGGCTCGTCGGCCTTTAATGAACTGAACGAGGAAACGGGCCAGTGTTGGCCAGTGCTTCACTTTTATTTAGAGTAATTGATCCCCAACAGGATAAAGATGGCCCCGCCCCTCCCCGTGCATGGCTCTGTTGGAGGTTTCTTCCTGTTAAAACAGAGTTTTTCTGTCCTACTGTCGCCTGTGCTTGCTAACAGGGGGATTTGGCACCATAAAATAAAACTGAACTGAATCGAATTGAAGAATATGATGAGGTTAAATTCGTGCAGAGTCAGTCTTCAGCCCTCTGTGGTGAAACACTGACTGATGCAGATCATTGGATGAAGCTGGCCTTTCGAGACATTTTTAGAATATGTTTTTGAAGTTATGAAGAAGAAGGACCGACACTGTCCAACGTCACTGTTCAAAGCTCTACGAGACACAGACACCCACTGGACACCTTGCTAGAATCCGACCTCCTGCTGAAAACATTTCCTCAGAGATTTTGGTCCATGGTGACATCATCACACAGCTGCTGCAGATGTGTCGTCTGCATCCACGATGAGACTCTCCCGTTCCATCTTAAAGGTGCTCTGTTAGACTGAGATCTGAGTACTGTGAACTCATCGTCATGTTTCAGAAACCAGTTTGAGATGATGACAAAGACCCTGCCTGTCACTGTGACTTGATTAACAGCCTAAATTGATCTGAGGTCAGAAAAAGTTATGCTGACCTCAGAGTTGGGAAGCAAAAACATCCAGTTTTCCTTTAACTTAGCTGTGGACTTTTTCTTCCTCCTTTCCCGGATCTTCCCAAAATTAAGCCACAAGCGACATTTAGTTCCAGGTTTGGTTTAATATGTGATCTAATAACGTCTGCGGTCCTGGAATGATTGACTCGAGGAAAGCTAAACTGACAGTTCAGCTCCTATACAGTTTCACTGCAGGCCTCCACCAGCCTGCAGCCAATCAGGAGGGAGTTACGGCCTCCCCTTCAAATCTGTTCAGCATGTATCTGCACGTCCGCTGCCGCCTGCCCGTTATCGTGATGTTAAAGTCGCCTTTACAGCTGGGTGAGCTGAGGAGGGGGGCGGGCTGCTGTGTTTGTGTGGGGTGATCTTTACACCCCCCGCCGGGGATCAGACAAACACTTATTAACTGAGAGGAATGCAAACAGACGCAGGACAGCAGCACGGAGGGCCGGGGGGAGTAAAAGGGGAAAGGGAGAGTGAAGACTCCTCCTCCTCCTCCCACATTTACTCCTTGTAAACCACCTGCTGATCAGGAGAAGCCTCCAGAGTTTTCCAGAGGAATGCAGTTTCAGTGAAAGACGAGACAAACAAGTATTCAGGCCTTTAAAAAGTCTGAATATTCAAATTGATGCTGTTCCAACATTAAATACCCCTAAAATCTTACTCCAGGCATCCGTCAGTCTAAAACAAGACCAAGTAATCTGTTAGTGAATGAATTTACCTGAAAACAGCTGCAGAAATATAGAACAGTGTGTTCTTACACCTGCATAAAAGTGTGATGGTGTGTTTATTTCACACAAATCCTGAATTAAGAAACTGATCTGGAACTCCAAATGAACAATCTGAAAAGAAAAGATCTGAAAACACTGAAATAATTTAAATAACTTGTGATTTCAGGTTGATGCAAACTTCCAAATATAATAAGAAGAAAATCTGATTATTACAGACAAAGCAAATAAAGTAATTTAAAGAAGGAACATAAAATTCCTGCCTACTTCCTCCTTTGAAGCTTTGAATCTACATATTTGCTGACACCATGTTGGATTTTTGGATCCAGAAATGACCAAAAATCCTTGAACTTCACTCACAAACCTGGAGCTCAGCTTTGTTTGTCTGTTGCTACAGTAACCTCACATATTATTGGTCACATGATGCCATTGTGGCTCCAACAGCACAAACACGGTCCAGAGGTCCAGTTCAGGTGAAGCTAGCAGCTACAGCCACCTGTCAGTCACAGAGGCCACGCCCCTGATGATGCAAACAGTTTGTGTATCAGGCTGTAAACATGTTTAGTTCTGCTGTAAAGTTTTAACATGGGAGTCTATGGGGACTGACTCACTGCTGCCTCTGCTGGACATCAGAGGAACTGCAGGCTCATTGTTAAGCCTCTGAGGTTGCTGCCTCTGATCGTCCCGTAATAATAATCATAATATTACAGTTTAAAGCACCGAAGCAACCGGTTGAAGCACAGTGAGACTCAGAGATCATTGAAAGCAGCGCTGAATCGTCCGCAAACACACGTTGAGGGTTGTTGGGAAAAGTTAGAATTAGCAAACAAAGATACGACACCTGACGTCCCGAGCGCCTCTCGCGCAGTCAGATCCTCCGGCACTGACCTGCTAAAGCTGTGGTCATTAGTTCTCCTTCAGCAGCCACCCTGACCCACGACGTCCAGATGTTTACGAAGCTCTGGACCAGCCGGTCAGGATTTCACATTTTCTGATGGACAAAGTTCAATGATGTGAAGATGAGTTTTTATCAGCCTCGCTCAGTTTTTCACCCACAGATTAATAAACACGTTGGAGTATGTTAGTCTTAATTTTTCACACAGAACAGATTCAACAGATTCCTCATTAAATATCAGAATCAGAATACTTTATTGATCCCTGGGGGAAATTATTTTTTGTTACAGTGCTCCATTATAAACCAACATTAAGACAAGACAGACAATACGCTAACTAAGAATAGTACAATATATACACACATACAAGGAGTCCAGCTCCATCCCCACAACATTGCTGGCCTTGTGGATCAGTTTATCGAGTCTGTTGGCATCTGCGACCCTCAGCCTGCTCCCCCAGCATACAACAGCATAGAGGATCGCACTGGCCACCACAGACTCATAGAAAATCCTCAGCATTTTCTGGCAGATGTTGAAGGACCTCAGTCGCCTCAAAAAACAGAGACGACTCTGCCCCTTCCTGTAAAGTGCTGTGGTGTTTTTAGCCCAGTCCAGTTTATTGTCAATGTGAACTCCAAGGTATTTATAGTCCTCCACAGTGTCAACACTGACCCCCTGGATTGAAACAGGGGTCAAGTGTTTCTGGTCTTCCTGAAGTCCACGATCAATATGACAGAAATATGACAGATGTTCAACGTCCTCTCAGACTTTTGGACCTTTAGTGTGTTTTTATTGTGTTACTGTGAATCACATCAGAGGAGGACGGCGCAAAGAAACGTCACAGAGACGTTTTACTGCTTACGAATAATCTCACGTTCATCTTTGTGTACTTTTAGTCATAACTGAATCAACTGTGTTTTCCCCACGTTATTCTAAACTTCTCTGTGGATATAAAAGAAATATGAGGAGAAGAAGAAAGTATGAAGTTATTTAAAACTGTGTTTGGAAACTTTCACAGTAATTTGTGTTGTAGCCTGAGCTGTGTTTGCACTCGGACTAAACGTTGGTTCCTCATCTTTTAGTTCCCATCTTCTGCTGCGCCGTCCTTTGTTCTGCTCCTTTGCTCCACGTGAGCAGCGCCGCCGACCTTTCGCCGTGACCTTGCTTGGCACTCTTTCCGCCCCTCTGTGTTTTAGTCACTCGGCGTCCTCGGGGCGTGTTTTGCAAGTCAACAATTCACATAAAGCAGGACACAAATGGCCGATTTTCTTCAGTTCCTTAAAAACCAGAGGATTAAGGAATCAGGGATGCTGAAAGGCCGCCACACAGCCCTCGGACTCGGGAGTTAAGCGGCTGTGAATGAGATGTGGCGACTCCAAAACAAAAGCTACTGTGTCACTCAGACGGGAACGCTGACGTCACGGCTCACAAAAGACGGAGGCTGTAAAACACCACCTCCGAGGGCTTCTTCTGGGCTTTTTTTTCTCTGTTTGAGCCAATCAAATATCCACGAGCGCTGCTGCCAAGTCCTCTCTCCGAGCAAACAGAGCCGAGAGCACGGCTGCATTTTGATCCATATTGGTGGTAAAATATAGGCTCTCTGTCTCCTCGTGGGTGGCCCGGTTTGGCCAGAGGACACAGGCCTGCAGATTCTCGTAGTGGTCTCCATGGGGATGAGCAGGACGTGGGGAGGTATCTGGCTTACTGGAAACGTGGTTTATTGTTGACTTTCAGGAATGAGGAGGGGGCCGCTGCTCTGACGGTGGGGGTGGCACATCCCGGTGGAGTGAACGCTCACACAGTCAGGCCTCACTTACGACTCTGGACGGGTTTCTGTGGACAGATGTGGCCCAAACACCAGCACACACCAAACATCTGCAAAGTGGACGTGACGCTGAGCCACATACAGACTGTATATAAAAGATGGATGCAGGTTTTTAGTGAGTCTCATTCTGCTCTCAGGTGTTTGCTTTGTCAGCTGCTCGCTGTCATGTTTGTATTTTCAGTGTCACACTGAGCTCGTCCGTCAGTCCTGTTTCTTCTGTGCTGCTGAATTAATTTGAACTCAGAGCATTGTTGCACAATCGTCCCTCTCGTTTCAGTCCATGAATGAAACGAAGGATCGCGCTAACATGTTAAAACCTGCAGAATTTCACAGCTTTTGAGTAAAAAGCAGAAAAAGGATCCTGAGAAAGCAGACGAGTCAAATCTGTCATTTTTCACCCTTCAACACCAACCGTCATCCTTCCACTTCCTGACTGAGCAGGTTTTCCATGTATGGATTCTTCTTTTCCTCCACGATGCTGTGGGAATATCCCAGTATGACACCGCTGGGATTCATTGAGCTCGGATTGCAAAGGAGTGGGTCAGAGAGCGTGGATCGGTCACGACACAGTTCAGCCTTTCACCTTGTGAGAACCTCTGGGATGACATGATGTCATGGTTAACGTGTCTGGAGTGTGTATGAGCGGGTGTGAAAGGTTTCACAGTGTGAGTGTGTTGAGGTGTGGGTTTGTAGGGTGTGTATGTATATGTGGTAGACATGTGTTCATGCAGCTTTTATAAACAAACACACAGGCGTGTTGTGACCGAGTGTGCTCAGAAACATCCTGACAGTCCTTCTGAGTTAAAGGCAATAAAAATGTACAACATAAGAGACGCTTTTAAATATTTTACTTTTGGTTGTGACACAGTGACGTCAGAGGAAGAGCAGCTCACAGAGCCGATGCTGAGGAGCTACACGCTGTGTCCCAGCGCCCTCTGCTGGGCATGTCAGGAAGTGACGTAAAGCTATTTCTTTTGTAACCTGCAGTCAGCGGGTGTTGTGTTGGGCTTGTATTCAAATAAAGACACGATCTTTATAACTCAGTGCTCTCAGTATAATCGATCCACTGCTTAAAGAGATGTGACAGTTCTGTAAAAATACATTTCTGCTGCCCTCTTTGGCCACATCTCTGCTGGAAAACTGATTTTTAACGTCACTGAATTATTTTCTCAATAAATTCAATTTTATTCGATTTTTAATTTATTTTGTATTTTTATTTTATGAAGAAACCACGTTGCAAACACTGCGTACGGAATCCAGCCCGAAAGTTGTTCCTGCATCAAAATGACGTGAATTCATTTACAGCGGACAAAACTCGTTTACGACACTTAAACCGAGCCAGCCTCTGGCGCCGGCGACGTGTACCTAATAAAGTGTCGGAAGACTGTGAGCAGTAAATATTTTGCAGCCGTTTTTTCCCGCAGTCATTAAAGGGAACATGGCTCCACTGTTCCTGTCAAACGTCTGAGAATAAACGCGCTTTGTCACCTCCAACGTTTACAGATATTTTAAACGAACTGAAGCTTTTCGTGACGTGAAACTTGTTTTTCTGTGCTGATCGTGGAAAACTTTGGCATGTGTCAGCAAACCGCAGCTGCTCTCGTCCTGTTTTGATCAGCTGACCTGCCTCGGTCACATGACTCGGTCCTCTTCCTCTGCTCGGCTCCTCTGAGCACCAGCGCGATCACACACCTTAAAGCGCCGCTGGATCACAGCTGCAGGGCAGGTGGAGGCACCGCGGGTGGAGGCGCCGCAGAACTCCGTGTGAAAGACGCAGTTTTAGGTTTCGGCTCTGTGGCGGCTGGAAGAGATCAGCCTGTGTTCAAACAAGAGTCCCACGGAGGGTCTGACGGAGGCCGAGACGGAGGCGTGTTTCTGGGGTTTCACCACTTTGTGTGTCACGGTAGGTAAAGAGGAGAAAAGTGAGGACGAGTTAAATTTTAAATACATTTAAAAGCAGAGTCGGGGTAGAGTCAGGGAGCTGACTACAGACAGGCAGATAAGAATAGTTTGGCTTATCTCAGGATGTTTCACAGAGACCATAAACAAGATCAGAGGTCGAAGTCAGCAACTGCACCCACAGCAATAAGATCAGACCCTCATTACACCCTGCAGCTGCGCCTCACCTGCATGTTACAAACTTCTGCTTCTGCTTTGGTTTTCCATCGCAAGCTTGAAGCACGTCCTGCTCCTAATTCCTGTCATGCTGGACTCAACTAGAGCAGCTTTGCATGATTCACAGTTCATAATAATCCTCCTTTAGCTGGTTACTTTTTGTGAACTGTAAAGTTTGCTTCTCCACCTGAGATGCCTGTGTCAGGGGAAAACTGATAAACCGGAATAAGTGTGCTCGCACTGTAAGAAGCTGTGGTCGTGTTTAACATGAACATCGAAAGATTTGTGACAGGAAACGGTTTGATTTGTTCTGCTGTGTTTCCCAGTCGTCTGTGGCTGAGCGGGCGGTGTTTGCGGTGTCCGCCTCACCTGCTGAGAGGACACAACAACCAAAAGCATGCCGTCCAACAAATCGGTGTCAGACGCTCCCATCACTCAGTTCATCAACTGCAGGATCCTGAGGGACAACGAGCTGCAGAGGTACGACACACACACACAAAACAACACTGCAAAGAGAGCCGGTCTGAGCCAGGAAACCCGCCAGCTTCAACTATTCTGCTGAGACGAGCGCTCAGAGCTCCTGACAGCAGCATACTCGGAGCGCCGGGTCGCAGCTCGTGGGAGTGTTTGGGGTTTTGAGCCTTTGCAGCTCAGATAAATTCAAACTTGTGCGTCCAGTTTTGATTTTTAAAGTCATTAATGATGTATGCTGTACCATGGACCAGGATGTCATGACTGTTGTGTGTGTGTGTGTGTGTGTGTGTGCAGAGAGGACCTGTGGGTGCGTGAGGGGAGGATTTTAGACCCAGAGAAGCTGTTCTTCGATGAGCAGGGGTACGCTGACAAACGTGTGGACTGTGAGGGCAGCATCATCGCGCCGGGCTTTATAGACGTCCAGATCAACGGTACACA